ATTCCCAGAAACATTTCAGGACTTAGAATATAACTTTGTTGCTCACTTAGCTTGTGGGTTTTTGTTGTTTTGGTTTTTTGTAATACCTCCTATACAACAAGGACACAAAGTCTCTAGTACATCTACAGGTGTAACTACATACTGATGTGTACAATCACATTTCTAAAGTACAGCAGCAGAGCTTGATGCTGAGGAAATTGATATAATTAAATTCAAAGGATTTGAGGACAGGCTAAAGCTAAGCATGTGCTTAAATGCTTTTTTGAATAAGAATTAAGGTTGTTTGCTCCTTCTGCTTTGAAGTCTAACTCGTGATGTTTGTTGATGATACCTTCCACATGCAAGATTTCAGGCCTTGCCTTTTCTTTCAGGCTCACTTAAGGTGGAATTTGGGAATGATGCATTAGGGAGAGACAAGATGCAGAGCTTTGTTTTCCAGAGAGAACATAAGCTGCCTTTCAATTTCATACCTTGCCAGAGTGGGGCTGCCCCACAGAGGCAGCAATCCAGGAGCTGAGGCAACCACAGAGAGGCACTGCCCTGAGCAAGGGCTCATCCCAGAGGATCCAGCCAGGCCAGAACAGGGCTGGAATGGTGGCAGGGGCTCTAAGAGTCCAGTGATCATTGAGAAATGAGGGGGGACAAGCCAGGGTCAGGGTCAGGCCAGGAAGCCCAGTCAAAAAGTCAGGAACAGCAAAGGCCAGAGCTGGGAACAGAGTCTGCCTAAAGCCCAGCCTGGGAGAGGACTGGGGCTCTGGCTGGTCAAGGACTCCTGGTATGCCCAGAACCTGGCATTTCTCCATGGATTAACATGGGATTTCACCATTTTTATATCTAAAGAAGCCACTGAGAGAAAAATAAATCTCATGCTAGATGCAAGTACAAGCCTCAGGCTCTCATGCAAACATTTTAGTTGCAGGAGTTTATTGCTTTTAGAGAACCATGTCTATTGACACAGGATATATGTATGTTTACAGTGGAGCTTAGTAAGACCCTAACTTACTTAGGCAAAGGTTGAGAACAAATGGTTAATAAAGAGAAAAGAGCAATGGCTTAGTGTTCAGTCAATAGTATTAAATTGTTATTCACAGATTTCAGAGTGCTTTTCAAAGAAGCTGAAGAGAACTCGGAGAGAATGAATGAACTGTGCACAAGTCATCCAGCCTACTGAGATCAGAGAAACAGATATTTTGGATTTATTTTGGATCACAGTTTGAACATGAGTGTTTCACACTGTGTTGTTGCAAAGAAATATCAGTTGTACCAGAATATTAAATTTTATACCAACCATGTTCCTTCTTTCTAATGAGTGGAATATCACAGCAAGACAAGAAATCAGCAGGTCACCTCATCCATTGCCACAACCTAAAGTAGGATCATATACATCAGCAAAGTGCTCCAGGTCACACCTAACTCTGCAATTATAATTGTGAAGTTAATCAGCTTCCTCACACAGTCAACCAGAGCCCCAGAAAAATTAATGCTGGCATAAGACAGTGAGGCAGAAAATGAGGGGGAGGAGGAAAGGCAGAAATTATTTATATCAGTATAATGTGCTGAACTATGATGCTACTTTATCTTACTGAACATCTTCTTTATTATTTATTTTAAAGTTATTATTTATTTTAAATGTTTCCTGAATGGTCACAAATGTTTTGAAATATAATTCTGTGTCCTCCCCCCAGCTTTGATTCACCTGCAAAATTAATAAGAATTCTCTCTGTTCTGCTATTTAAATTGTTAATACCAATAACACAGAGACCCAGACTGAAGACAGACTCTAGAAAACCAGCAATATATCCCTTCCTTTTGTTAGTGAACTATTTCTTGCTATGAACTACTCCTTGCTATGCAGAAAGTTTTGTACAGACCTCATAATACATTTACCCAGACTATATTTCTTTAACTTTTTAAAGAAAATGTCACATAAGTGTCATAAACATAATCAAGCTGACAACAGGCTCTGTCCTATTCATACAGCCTGTTCCCTATTGGAGGAGAAAAATCAAGTTATCTGGTGTGATTTATTTTTGACAGATCCATGTTGACTGCAATTTTTCTTTGGTTATCATCTAGGTGCTAATAATAGCTTGTGAGGTTTATTTGTCCAAGGATTTTTTAGTGACTTTAAGTTAGTTACACTCAAATCGAGCTGTATTTCCCTGGCTCATTCCCCCTCTGATAACAGCAGTGCACGGTTGCCTCTTCTGTTTTTCCAGCATTTCATTCACCTTCTTAATTCTTCACCTGTCTTTCAAACACATACACTAGACTCAAACTGAAAATATTTGGTTCATCTGAGTGCTCCTTATCTGTTCTTTACCTACTCTGGGCTGAGATAATTTTGTCGTCAGCATCACCAGTCCCAGCAATCTGCTTGTGCCTGGTCTTTTTTGTAGGCATAATACAACAGACACCAATCCCTTTAGCTGTCTTCATAATTTGTTGATAGATTTTCTTCTCTGTTGAGTAGGGGGTTAATAATTTATCTATATTCTTCTTAGTACAAATACCTGTAAAGAGCAGTTTATCTGATAGCTCTTGACAGGTGAGTGGCTTTGCAGCAGTACTTTTTTAGTATTTCCTTCTTATTCTTAGTGATTTGACCCATCTTCCTTTGTATTTTCTTCATGTGCTTAAGTTCAATAGAGACCTCATGATGTGGCCAAGCTAAGCTTACTGCTATTTCTGTTCTACTCACAATTGGGATAAATGGCCCTTTGAATTATTTTCTAAAGCATCATTCCTTTTCTAAACTCCTTTCTTTAAACTTCCTTCCTATGAGATCTTAACTACTGATCGCTCAAATCTTTAGCTTTCATGACTTCTGTCTTTATTTAGCTGTTCTGTTTCCTTCCTCTTCAATGCACAGCAAGCTGACATTTTGGAAATGCTCAATGGTCTTTTTTGGTGGGCAAAATGCTGCCCACTTCATGTTTTTAGCCAGTTATTCTTCACTGGCAATCTCTGAAAAATACACAACAGCCCCAAACCACCCAACCACCAGCCTCATATTCTTGAGGCTAGGCCATGTACTAAAGAGATCATTACATCTGAAATACCAGCACCTGACAGTGTAGTGCTGCTCTAATGGAAAGAGTTTTTCACTTCACCAAAGATAAGCTCAGGAAAGAATCAGAGAACCAGACCCCAGACACTGCCAAAGGGGAGAGACAAGGTATAAAACTGCCTGGGATTGCTTCCAGCAGCAGTAGCTGTCCTGTTGTATGTGACTGAAGGAGTGTAAAGGACAGATTGTCCCAGGTTGTTCATGGCAGATCTATTCCAGGTTGTTCATTGGTAGACCCCTAAGAGAAAGTACTCTGTGCTTTGTGAGCAGTAATCCTGTGTTTTAGAAGTAGAGCATCTTTTTGAACAGCAATCCTACAGCTTAGAAATAGAGGAAGAAGAAAACTGCCAAATATTGGTGTTGGTGCTGAACTGCTTGTTTTGAGTATTCAGGCTGTGAAGCAGGGCAGTGCAGCCTGTGTGTGTTGCACGTATGTGTGTGTCCAGTCAATGGGGCAGGAATTTACAGCAACACTGTGCTGCAGGTTTAGATCAACAATGGGTGTTTCAATCAACAGCAGTGACTGAAAACCAGAATTTTGTAAAATTCTTATTAAGCACAAATTGTGGAATGGAGGTCTTGAAGATTTTGGAAAAGCCTGGTGGGATCCCTTCTTTCCCCAAAAGGGAGTAATTTCTTCCACAGCAGAATGGCAGTGACATACATCCTCCAGCTTTACAGACCAGGTATGGCTGCTGCTGTGTCTAAACAGAAATCACTTTGACTCAGCCAATATTGATATCTAACTGGTCTTTTCAAACTTATTTGTGCAACTAAGCTTTTATTTTCAGTTAATCAGGCTCAACAGTTTGGCCAGTGCTGGTACTGTCCTAATGCTGTCCTGTGGAGAAGGAAAGCCCTGAAATAATCAGGATGGGGAGAACGATGTGCTGCATGCAGGTAATGTGAAATAAAATCTGTACAGACAGCTCTCAGGGGATGACCTGGCTCTGACCGCCTTGAAAAAATCCCCTTAACCGGCTACCCTCTGGATCTCCACAGACTTTGCCTTTCAGACAGTGCTACATATTTGCAATACAACCTCTTCGCCGTGCCACCAACCAGGAACTGAACCCGTGCTCTGCTGCACGGGGCGTACATGGCAGTAAATCGTCTGAGCACTGGGACAAGTGGGGTCTGTGCTCTGTGCCAGGCACTGGGCACAGCTGCGGGCACCGCTGTGCGACCCTTGGCACACCTGGCTGGAGGCACCTGCCCGTGTCCAGACCGCAGCCGAGCTGCAGCCCCGCTCGCGTTTGTCCTTCCTCGGCCGACCTGCCTACATGCGCTGCAATGGCACTTGAAAAACTCGTTTGTCGAGTTAAGGTCGCTGCCGAGCGGGACCGCGCCGGCGGGCGTGCGGAGCTGTGCCCGCTCCTTGCCGCCCTCCCGGCCGGGGGCACTGAGGGGAGCAGGAGGGGGAGGAAGGGGGGCGAAATCAGCGGCACCAGGCGGGAGGGACCGGGGAGCGCACCCGCCGAGGGAGCAGCGCGCAGGGAGGCGGTGGGGAGCGCAGGGAGGCGGGCGCAGCGTGCCGGAGGGAGGAGCGGGCGGCCGGGCGCAGCCAATTCGGGGGACTCGTCCATTTTTCGGCGTGAGTCAGGCACGTCGGTGGGGTGATGCTGCGGCGCCGGGCAAGGGCCGGGCCAGCCGCGGGGAGCGGCCCGCCCGCTCGGGCCCGGAGCCTCGGCCGTGCCCGCGCTGCCGCTGAGCGCAGCGGCGCTTCCTCCTTCCCGTCCCTCGCCGGGGCCGGCGCCATGGCCGGGGGCGCCAGGCCTGCCGCTCCCTGACACCCGCCCGCGGTGCGGGGCCGCGCACGGACAGCGGGGCGGGCTGAGGGGCTGGACACGGCGCTGGCCGCGGGAAGGGCAGCTCCGAAGGGAGGAAAGGGCGAGCGCTGGGCGGCAGAGCCGGGCGGGGAGAGGAGGGGTCCCGGGGTCTGGAGCTGGCAGCTGCGGCCTCTGCCTCCCCTCAGGAGAGCGGGACGGCTCCGGGCAGCGGAAGGCGAGGGAAGGACTGCCCGTGCCCCGGGCGGGGCTGCCCGCTCCTCACGGAGCCCGGCCAGGGAGGGCTGCAGGGAGCGGCTCGGCGTTTCGTGCTTCGTCAGCCCGGCAGTGTTTTGGCTTTGGTTCCGTCGTGCTCCTACCTGTTCCTGGAGAAGAGGTCCCCGCCATGTCTCGCTACAGCCTCCACAACCTCCTGGACTGGATGTACGGCGGGGTGGACCCCAGCTTTGCCGGCAATGGAGGGCCGGAATGCGCCGCCTTTCTCTCCGGGCAGCAGCGCTTGCTGGAGAGTTTGGTCTTCCTCAGTGTGGGCACCGTGGAGATCCTGGTGTCCCTGTGGAAGCTCAGGCAGCAGCATGCCCAGGAGCTGGAGAATCTGCTGCAGCAGCCCCGGGCTAAGCAGGAGAGCCTGGGCAAGAACGTGCTGCTGGTGCTGCTCTGCCTCATCTTTGGGCTGGAGGTGGGCTTCAAGTTTGCCACCAGGACTGTCATTTACCTCCTGAATCCCTGCCACGTGGTCACCATGATGCAGGTAAGGTTTGTGCAGGGCCACCTGGAAGTTTGCTTTTTGGTGTACTTGCAAAACAGTATTTTTTTTTCCCCCATAGTTGTTTTGTAGACCCAAAGTGCCTAGCAAAAATACAAATGCCAAGAATGGTATAAATATTTTAAAACATAGGTTTTGATTCAACATATTTCTATCAAAATCTATCAAAAAACCCAAGTCAGATGAAAAGGTGGAATTGGAGCTATGACTAATGTCCAGATCTCTGGTTGAAAGTGTAGATAATTAAGGCTTTCTCATCACTTGCCTTCACCTGAAGGCTTCAAGAACAGAAGGTGCTGTTTTCACTGACTGCAGTGCTAAAATTTGCGCCAAATCTAATGAAAACAAGATTAAATGCAAAACCAGCTATATAATTTATGTGCAGTTTTTCAAGCAAGTGCCTCCTAGGGGTGTAATTGTATTTTATGAAGGTGTTGGAGAAACAAATTACTCATTGTGCAGATACTGTTGGTTTATCTTTCTAATTTTAGAGGCTGCATAGTAAAGAAAAGGGTGTTACCTGTTTCTCATATGTGGGGTGAACAAACTGATGTGGCCTAATATGTGTGGATAAACCATTTCCTTTTATAACTTGTGGCACGGTTGTTGATGTGTAATAATGTGCAGTTTGTGTAGATTTCAAAATACTGGATACACAGACAAACTTACTGAAGTGGGCTATCTAAAGCTTCTAAGCTGTGTTTGTTAATAGTTCTGTGCATGTAATTAACTATCAGTTTCACTGAGCTTGTTAAGGAGTGTTGGAGATGTCAAACATATTATTATTTTGCTAATTTTATACCCTCAACACTGAATTGCTTAAAAAATTCAAGGTCAAGAGTTAAGCGAAGAATGTCAAAAAGGCTTTCATAAAAGTTGCCATGATAGCAATGTCTGTCTAAGATAATAAGAGATGAAAATCAGATCAGTGCCATTCTGGGTCTCCTACTGCAGTATGTGAGGTGATCTGGGCTGAATCAGATCTAGCCAGTTGTTGGATTCACACCTGGAGAGCATTTCCTAAAAGGCAGGGAAACATCTTTTCTGGTTGCTCCAGCAGTTTGAGAGATGGGTTTTATTTCAAGGACAGGGGAAAAACAAGCAATATTCAAGATACAGTAATATTCAAGACCTTTACAGCAATGAATTTACAGTTCCAGAAATAATTAGTAGGTTATGTAAATTTCTAGGCTGTGATGCAGTGTTTGCTCAGTAATTGACAGGACACTTCCTTCCTGTGAAGTGATAAGGATTGTTGTGAAATCAGTGAGTCAGTATTGGGGTGAAGGTATGCAAGGACTATGGAGCAATAACTAAAATAAAATAATACAGCCACATTCCCTTTCTAGGCAGTGTTCAATGATAACTGGGAAATGTTCCTATTAATTCCCTGGAAAAGAGGTGAGGATATAATAACAGGATTTGAGGGTCTGGTTGTCTTTATGTTATGATGTTAATGTAAGTATTCAGCTGAATGCTTACACAGACCTGGGACAGCTTGTTCTGTTCACCTTTCAATGGTGCCTCCTGGAAGGGAGATGGAGTCTGTTCAGAGTTAAGCTCTGTAGGTAGGCATTGCCATTTCTGAACCTCTTTTTGACTAATTGTGATGAAGTTTTGAAAAGAATCCTGGCTAATTACTCACTAGAAATGGTGTTCCAGCATTTGTGAAATTGAGAAGGTGAGCATATTGGCAAAATGTGGAAGTCATGCCCCATCATCCTCAAAAAGATGTATTAGAAATAGGCCTAGGCTTAATATAGAGAAAGCAAATAATGGCAGAACCAATGGCTTTCAGCAGACAAAGAGAGTCAGACCAAAGACAGTCAATGACCTCCACCAGCAGACAAGTATTACATAGTTGGAAAACATTGTTTTCCTAGCCTGAATTTGCTGAGGGCATCAGATTTGTAAGATGAAATATATGAAAATATAATTTGTCCTTCACTTCTCTAATAGAAGATGTCCCCCTGCAGGGAGGATGGCTGGTGAAGGAGATGAAGAACACTGCCCCACCTGGTTTTAACAGCTGGTAACAGGATACATACTTTTTATTCCATCTTACATTGTAAACTAAGATGTTACTTTTCAGCCAAAAGCCTTCATGTAGCAGTTCTATGTTTCACATTTAGTGAAGGAGTAGTTGGAATTTATACCAAAAACTTGTTCTCCATTATTTGTTCCTGTACCCCCAGTTTGTAATTTGACACACGGAATTTGCAACCTGCTATTCACAATCAAGGTAACTTAAAGCAATTGGGCAAACACAGGTGGCTCTTGATGTCCTGAAGACACCAGCTGGAGTTAACAGGCAATTATGATAAAGTGTAGACAGGAGCCAGGGCTAAAATTAGTCTGTATTGCAACAGAGAAACTTGTAACCAAAAAAAGAAAAAAAGTAAGGAAAAAGCCATCTAAAGCAGAGGTTGGAGGTAACACTGGCAGGGTGAATTAGTCTCTAAAGGTCCTTTCCAACCTTGGTTATGTGATTATTATAATGTTTTTCTTTTTAAAAGGATCTTCAGTTTTAAACACTGAAGGTTATGACTGACCAGTCTGTAGAAATTAAAATGGCATGTGTATAATTTTATTGAAACCTTAAAGAAGTGGCAGAAACATGACTAGTCTAATCCTAAAATGATAGGTACAGCCAGTTGTTCTTGTAAACTGTTGTGGATTTTGCACTTGACTTTGGTATGTCTAGGCCCTCTTCCAGAATAGTCTCTTGATACCAATATTAAAATAAATTTTATAATTCTATTTTATTCTAGGAAGAGTTTTGCAAGAATAGTTTTTCAGTGGTAAATTTCAGCTGGTCAGTTATTGTAATTCTCTTCCAGTTCTTCGTGGAATGATTCCACTTCAGCCAGTTAAGGACTGACATTTGTTTGGAATAAAGCAAAGTGTGTTTGTAGGAAACATCTGTTTTGCTGGGTTATTGCTTTGGTGATCTTTTTAGGCAAAGAAAAGTAAATGTAAAAGGGAAGCAATAGGTGGAAAGAAGGATAGGTTTCACCTAGTGATTTTGGTCTGATGGTTGCATAAATAAAGTGAGTGCTAAGTGCATCTGCAGCTCAGTAAATACTAAATTCTGTGTTCATTATTTCCAGTTCTGGCTTCTTGAGAGACCTGGATCCTTTCTGTCCTCTGCAAAAGAGGTTACTGTTTTTTGAAACAATGGGCTGTTTTCAGGACTTACATAATAAACATAGCTTGACTGAATTCTGCATTATTTGGGAATATGTACCAAAATATATCTAATTAATTGCTTACTCCCTTTTTTCCCCCCTTAATTTGCGTACATGGTTCCTGTATGCTTTGTAGTATTTGGAAGAATCAGTTAAATTGTGTATGTTTTTTTATATTCTGGCTCTTAAAACCTTGAATTAAAATTAAAGGGGCAAAACTTCTTATGAAAATATATACATTTTTCAAAATGTAAGTCTATGAACATAAGTCTTCCTTTTTACAGCTGCAAGTTAACTTGTGATGTTTTTCCTTACAGCTGATGGCTAGAGAGGAAATTCATGCTGGTGTGTGGTGAAAAAGGGCAGATGAAGAATTAAAGCACAGACAGCACCAGTGTTTCTTGTTGGCAAGCCTCATTTCTTGCCAAGGAGTGCATTTTCCTTCCAGGATGATGATAGCAGCCTCAGGGACACAGATAGGGAGTGACACTCAGGAGACAATCCATCAGTTCCTTTATGCCCAGTCTGCAGTGCTCCAGAACCATTGGTCTGACCTTGCTGGGATAGCTTAATCTGCCCCTGGTTCCCAGAACTGACAGGTTCTCTTCTTAATTGTTGCTTTTGTCTTAATTTGTTTTGTTTTATTTTTAAACAATGATTTTATTGTGTTTAAAAAACACAATCAACTGGAGTTAGAGGCCTTTACTGATACTGCAATTATTGTAATAATTACACTTAGGACTGAGGAAAAGCTTTTCTGTGATAGCTTTAACACTGTTTATACTTTGTTTCACCATTGTGTTTACTTTTAGTGAATCCCAGCATATAGCAAGAAATGGGAAAATATTATTATGAGGCAAAGCATTATTTCTTAGTCAGAAATAAGAGCAATTTTTTGTTGACTATGAAGAGGATAGCAAGTGTGTCCTAAGGCTGTGATTCAGTTTTCTTTGTTTGAAGTGATTATGGACCAGCCTTTTTAATTTAAACAAGATTTGGCCAGTGATGCTTTATCCTAAGCTTTAGTCCAGGTGACAGGGACCACAGGGACACGTCATGGTGCTGGTGAATGTTCTGTTCAGGAACTGGAGTCTAAAGCTCTAAGTTAAGCCTTTGTTTTGAAGTTGCTAGAATTTGGAAATACCGATGTGCTTCAGGCTGTAATGCATTCTTAGATAATTCTCTCCTTTATTCTGAATTTTTCCTTCATTCTTAGGAGAAAAGAACATAAAAAGTGGGGAGTTGCCAATGGGCATCTTGCTCTCTAAGCAGGAGTAGGAACTGCGTGATCGGAAAGTGTGGATGAACAAGCTTAGCTTTCTCTGACCCCAAATATTTACACTGAGTGTTATCATCTAAAGGCCACTAGATGAATGATTAGGTAACCAGATATTGGTTTGTTTTGATGAGGTCATCACAGATTTAAAGCAAATATCATTCAAAGCATGACATGTGTAGTTTGAGCAAGATGTTAGGGAGATAAAGGCCTCTTTTTGTTTCTTTTTTCTTCTTCTATTTAGATTTTTTTTCCTGAACAGAGCTTTCAGTGTACTATGCAGTGTTATGATGTATTGCTGTTGGCTGCAATATATATTTTAGGATGGATTTTTTTATCCTATTTGGCAGTTTCACACACTATTCCATGTAGGTTGTTGGTAACTTAAATTGATGTTCCAGGAGTAGCTGCCTGAAACAGGCAAAAAAGAAATCCTACATCTAATAGGCTTTCATTGGAGTGGTGAATGAAAGCAGCAGCAGTAACCACACTGGACACCTTGTAAATTTTGGGCACTGGAA